TGCGTCCCGACATCCTTTCCTGGTGAACCTGTACGGCTGCTTCCAGACGCCTGACCATGTGTGTTTTGTGATGGAATATTCTCCTGGAGGAGACCTGATGACCCACATCCACAACAACATCTTCTCTGAACGCCAGGCCAGGTACACGCACACACACACACACACACACACACACACACACACACACACACTTTAATTACGCAGCATTTACATAAGTAATTACGTAAGTTTACATAAGTGCTACTTTTTTCCATTTGCTCTCAGATGCACATGCTGTTTTTAGCACTGTGTATTTTTAGCAGTGACACGTGCCTATGGACGTAACTGTAAACCGTGGTTTTTCTTCTGTCAGGTTTTATTCTGCTTGTGTATTACTGGGCCTGGAGTTTCTGCACCAAAACCGGATTGTCTATAGGTAATTATTTTTACATTTCCAGATTATATGCATATAGGGTGTGATATAGGGCTGTGATATTTGCAAAAAAATATGTTGTATTTTTGCCTTTATTTTATTTTTTTTTATAACTGTAAATTAACATTTTACTGAATGTGTTTCTGTGCTGTACTTGGGCTGGTTTCGACCAGTTATTTTCAGCTCTGAATTTTCAGCTGCTGAAAAAGAGAAAAGTTGCTGTAATACGAGTCGACGAAAATGATAAATGAAAAAGATAATGGTGGCAAGCCTGCCTTGTTTTATTTTAGAAATGAAGCAAGTGAGTGTCTTAGTGGATGGATTCAGTGATTGCATAATTTGATTCAGCGTTGTGCTGAGACGAACACTGAGTATGCTAACATGGACACCAATTTAAATGTGATTAAAACAATACTCTGATTAAGAGTCTACCATGTAAACAGCATTTTTTATTTTATTTATTTATTTTTTTTGAGTAATGCAGCATTATCGAACTAAACAGAAATCAAATTAAGGGTGCTCTCACATCTGTAGTTCAGTTCATTTGGTCCGGACCAAGAGCAACAAATGATACATTGTAGCATTTTCTGCCATTTTTGGGTCCTTTTTGCACACTGATTGCTTTGTTCCGAACCAGTTGAAAAGAACCAAAATGCAGCCATGTGACAAAACCCATATCACTCATTGGCCAGATATTATTGAATGCATTTCTTAAACTGCTTTTCAGTTGGTCAGAATTAACGTGCGGAAAAATGCCAATGGAAGTCCCACAAGTAAACAAACCGGCAGATACAAAATGACGCTTTTTACTATGAAGGAATGACTGCACTGGCTGATTGTATCCCTGGTCATAGTATACTATGCTCAATGGACTTGCTTTTATTTTTTAAACTGTGGTAATGAAATCAGTATCACATTTGTGATTCCCCTCGCGTTAGAATTCAGGGAAATTAAATTCTTGCTTGCCTACTATTATTTAGCATTATCATCTATAGATGTATTTAGCTTTCATAACTCAAATTAAAGTGTTATTCCAATAGTCTTTATCACTGTATCTTCAATTGCTTGTTGGACAGAGTTACTGTAAAACATTATACAGTCAGTTTGAAGATTTCTGGTATTATCATAGATGATGAATATCACACACCCAGCCCCTATGCATGTGTGAAATCATGCATGTTGGCTCATACTTTTACTCTTTCCTCATTTTAGGGATCTTAAGCTGGATAATCTGTTAATGGACTCTGATGGCTTTGTGAGAATTGCAGATTTTGGACTTTGCAAAGAAGGTTTGGACATTTGAAAACTTTCTTTCTCTGAAAAAAATGTAATGCTGAATTGCTGAAATGCTGCTATCTTTCAGGTATGGGATATGGAGATCGTACATCAACCTTTTGTGGCACCCCAGAGTTTCTAGCTCCAGAGGTTTTGACAGACAGCAATTACACCCGTGCAGTGGACTGGTGGGGTCTGGGTGTGCTCATCTATGAGATGCTCGTTGGAGAGGTCAGTCTTGCTGCTCGGACTCTTACTACAGCAGCATCACTATAAGACCCCGCTTATACAGAAATGGACAAAATTGTTGGTACCCTTCAATTTACTCCAGACCAGCTTTATTAGTTAGCCTTTTATAAACTTCGGTTGAACCACAATTCCAAAGCAATATCTCATGTTGTTTCTCTCCCTTCAGTGAAAAGGTATCAACAATTTTGCCCGTTTCTATATGCTATCATGATCTGTGTTTTTGGCAATCTAATCACAAGTGGGTGGCACTTCTTACCCCTCTCTTTCAGCTCCCCACACTTACCTGTTGATACTTTCTACTGTTCTGTCTATTAAAAGGTGTTTGTGAACCTATTTTTTATAAAAAAAAATTTGTTATAAAATTTTAGACTTGTGCAAGGCTAAATACTATGGATTTTTTTTCGAATATCCCAGTTTGAAAAGATTTTCATATGACCTATTAAATTTTATTAAAAATTTAATGTGTTTAATAATACAATAATAGTTTTGTTTGAATTTGTTTTATTAATTATCAAGTATATTTATTCACAAACACTATAACCCTTACCAAGAATAGAAGAAAAAAATCGCTGTCAATTACTTCAATTTACAATAATAATAATTTAATTAAAAAAAATGTAGGCCAGGTCAGTATCCTCAGCAGTAAATAAATGGAGAACTTTTAAGCAAATGTTGCTTTAAGGTCAGTAATTAAATGTTATTTTAAAATAAAGTTTTAATGAGATGGATTGTTGGTGATTGTACATTGCTTTATTTGCACATCTTTTATGCGATAATCTAGTCTTGTGCATGAAGTTAATTAGCATTTTTTGGATGGAAACATAGCTACTGCATTGCAACTGAAATCTGCAGAAAGGTAGTCATGTCTGTCATAAAATTGCATACATTTTTGGAATATATTTTCATAATGCATATTTTTCTTATAAAAAAACTAATATATATATATATATATATATATATATATATATATATATATATATATATATATATATATATATATATATATATAAAAACATCAATACAGATCAATATTTTAAGACTTTTTTTTTTTGTAAACATGAAAATGTAAACCGATGTTTTAGTATACTGTCAACATGCTTCTCTCTTTAAAATGCTCTATGAATTTATGTTTTACGTTTTTACTGCAAATGTCACATCCATAACTCTAGAATTGCTCTTCAATATAAGCCAATATTAAATTAAACAAGTTTGAGATCTGAAATGGGTAATGTAATGGGTTATTGCACTATAAAAACATCCTGTATGTCAAAACATCAAGAGAATTTTGATCTCCGTTCAAAAGCAAACAAACAGAAAAGGCAACCAACAGTAGTGAACAGTAGTGTTTGTGTGTATCCTCTTATGGCCGCCAGTCTCCATTCCCTGGTGATGATGAAGAGGAGGTGTTTGACAGCATAGTGAATGATGAAGTGCGCTACCCCAGGTTTATGTCTCCAGAGTCAGTCTCCGTTATCCAAAAGGTAACAGCTCATCCTTCTCAATGAAGTAAGCAAATTAAATTCAGTCTGACTCTCTATCGCTTTTAATGGCAGCTGCTGCAGAAGAACTCTGAAAAACGACTCGGGGCAGGAGAGCAAGATGCCAACGAAGTCAAGAAACACCGTTTTTTCCAGGTGACCGTCAATAACAGAGTCATTTTTGTCCACTTTTTGTGAAGCTTCTCTTCTTTTCTAAAAAAATCGTTCCTCTCCTCAGGGCATTGACTGGGAGGCTCTGCTGGCCAAAAGAGTCAAACCTCCATTCCTGCCGTCAATTAAAACAGCAGCGGACGTCAGTAACTTTGACGAGGAGTTTACACGCCTCAAGCCTGTCCTGACTCCTCCACAGACGCCGTTCTTCCTTAGCGCCGAGCAGCAGGAGTTCTTTGCGGACTTCGACTTCTCTGCCCTGCACTGACTTCCGCTCCATTACACTCGGATGGGGTTGTGACATATCAAATCTCTTCTTCCTTTTTCTCTCTGTCTTCTTCGTCCAGATATTCTGTCACTTGAGTTGCGCAGTCAAATCAAGTGAAGCTGGCCCCGTCTCACCCTTTAAAAGCTGCTGCTTGTGAATCTGGCTGCACATGTGCGCTTGCGCTCCAAAGACGGTCCAGACCGGACGTTAAAACCAAGAGGAAACCATACGATCAGCACTGTGAGTAAACTCAAATCTGCTCAGCTTTTAAACTGCCCACCCTTGGCATTCACACATGCAGTAATAAGTGATATTTTGGGGTTCCACTGCTAATGGTGTGCAGAAACACCAGTGTTGATTTTCGCTCCGACCAGCTGTAAAATAGAGAAGTCTTCCTGTTACACTGAACTTTGATGCCAAAATATACTTGCACTGTCGCCGAACAGATAATGATTGTCAGATTGAGACGGTTGTGCTGTCTGCTTTGGTTGTTTTTAAGGATTTCTGATGTCGCGCTGATCTGAGTGATACATCTTAAGCTCCTTAACTTCCCGATTGTAACTGTCGAAGTGTGTGCTAATGCAAATTCCTCCACGCTCAGTCTATGCGATGTACGTTCATGTTAAAGCCTCACATTTTGATCTCTGGCTGTCCCTAATCTGGATTTGATTTAGGATTGGTGCCCCAGATAGACGTTGCTCCTTGAATTTTTTTTTTGGGGACTTGTTCTCAACTTTCCACTGTACTTACAGACGTCTTGTGACTTTTAGCGACGACTTTCTCTTTAAAGCCCTCCTCTGGACTAATCTAGGACTGTTGAATTAGACTAAGCATATTCTACTTAATGTCTTAGCATGATACGGTTAGCACATTCAGTCACTTAAGAAGTCCAAACGCATCATGTATCATAGAAGCTGATTTGTTATTTAACATGTTTGTCTGTGTTTTACTTTCGACGACTGCCATCAGAACACCATCCTATCATTGTTAATGTGGTTTACTACTGATAATGTACACTGTGAACAAAATGACACTAAAAAATCTATTTAAAGGAAACTTTTCATTTCTATGAGCTACATGAAGGATAAATAAATATCTATGGAACTGAAGGGGATGAATGTATTTTCAGAAATAAAATACAACGTGACCATGTTGTTCAGTTTATTGAATACTGATATTTCAAAATAATACATGGAGGGAAAATCAATTGCATAACTTTGATCAAAATGGAGCAGATCGTTCAGGAAATCCTTGCATTAATGATAGTACATTTAAAAACACACAAGTGCAAAAAGAAGCAAACTGAAATCAAGCCAAAGCTGAAACTATTATTGCTGATTTTTAATCTTATTGACTGAAGAAAATCACACTTTGTGGTTTTCGTTGTACTGCATTTATCTATAAATGTCTTACTTTGCTCTGTTCTGACAGTCAAAAATGGACCTTAGTCTAACAGTCAAAGGAATGTCACATGCATTTACTCCTGCTGATGTGAAATAGGAAAGGCCATGTTTACACAATATGTTATATCTGTAATGTTGAACATTACTGCACGGATTATGTTCATATTCTAAGGGTACATTTACACAACACCTATGTACAAGTTTTTACTTTGGGAATTTAGAGTTTTTCGTTCGGTTGGCAACAGTCACATAGGCCAGTGGCTAGTGACACTATTCTTTGCAAAGAAACACTGAGCGTCTGCAAATATGCATGACTCTACATTAGTTATTTGCCTAAATTTAAAATGACTATCGTTAACGCATGTTTGTGTGAGTGTTAGGGCTGGGCCTATTATTTATTTCATTATATTTCACAGTTACAATATATAACAAGTAAACTATGTATTAAATGACACACACACACACACACACACACACACACACATATATATATACATATTTCTTAAGGAGCTGTTGACATGAATATGTACCATGCTTCAGAGTCTTGATTCTGTGAGTCTAGTCTAAGAACTCCAGATTCAGATCATATTATTGTTTGGGCCATTCTAGCAGCTTTATTTTCTCTTTTTGGAGATGTTTGAGATTATTGTTTTGCTGAAATGTCCACTAAGGATGTGTGATTTCATTGAAATCGTATCGAACCCGTGATTTGGACATGCGCAATTTCTAAATCACCTTACAGCACAATTTTCCTGCAGTATGCTATTTGAACCAATCATAACGCAGCGTGCAAATAGCCAATGTCTGTGGTATGGGATTAAGTTACTTTGGATACAGGAAGGCTGATGTATGGCAGAACCATTTGTAAGTCCGTCATAAATTGCATCTAAAAGCGCAATAAGTCAAGTTCAACATGCTTTGCAGGTGCTCCTCTGACGTTGCTCGGTGACCATCAACCGTTTTCTCAGAGGATGACAAACTAGCAAAACATTGCTGCATTGCTCTGTAACGGGTTTTATGTATGGGGAGAATTTTATTTTATGTCTGTTTTAGAGACATTTTACAGGTCTTTGATAAAGATCCAATTGTTTTTCTTTTGAAATATGTTTCAGATTCACACTGTAAACACAGATTTAGTCTGTCTGAGACAAAAAACGTGATTAAAATCGCAATATTGTTCAAGAAAATCATGATGGGTTTCTTTTGCCCATATCGCACAGTCCTAATGTCCACCCTGGTTTCATCTTCCTCATCTGCTAATGTAGGTGTTGAACTGAAACCGCTAATATTCATTTACATTGACAAGGGGCAGAACTGCTAATTAACTACTCAGAGATTTCAGCTACTGTCTGGGCTTTCCATGCCTTTTACACCTGCCTTCCTTCATGTGTTCAATACTTCTCTTTTCCATGTCATTTTATTTGTTATTCTCATCTGGGGAAAATTTCAGGTCAACAGCACCTTTTAGAAATGTGTTTTCCGAGATTAATGGTGACATAATTTGTTTTATTCACTTTATTTTACAATATAACTATTTTAATAGGTAGTTATTCCAAAACCTCAAAAAAGGTTATTACATATTTATTTTTTAACGGTAATTTTTTTAGGTTAGTGTGTTTTTGAGAAGTCTTAATTTACAGAGTCAGGTTTGACATTTGTAATTCCTTTAAGTTATAGATTTTCACAATAAAGTAAAATCAGACTTGTGATTGATGCCAATTGATCTGTTATAACCCGAGTTGATGCGTTATATACTTGGATAGATCTATCTTTTTCATAAATATTTATTAGTGTAACACTGCAACCCTTGAATAAAGTTAAGACCACATGGGGCAGGCATTATGACCCAGCGGGAGGCTGCTTGGCAGCGATATTTAATTTGCTTTTAATGAGTCAATCCTTTTCTCTAAGCATGTGATTAAGCATTTTATGATAAGACTTTATTTCTTCAGTAACAATGTGTATATATACAGTCATACTGCCAAGTCTTAAGTGTCATGGAAATGTACCCTATAAAAAGTATTTTAATCTGTTGATTTGTCATGTCTAGTTTACAGATTATAGTACATTTAATCATATAAAATCACATTACAAGCATATTGAAATCTCACCACTCAAATATATATAAAGTGCTAGAGGATGTTATTTCACATCAATTTCTCATTACCCTGTCTCTTATACGAGGAGATCTATATTCTAAAAAACAAATCTGTAAAAATTTCACAAATCCAATAATTGCACAAAGTCATTGCTGATGTAACTGTACAACATGATTTGTTGCTGCTATAAATGAAGATAGATCTAGTTTGTACAGCAGCTTTGTAGAACCATGTAAGAGAGCTTAATTAATACATACGCACGAGTTTCACATATCTTAATGTATTGCATTAACTGGAAACCACAATACAGCTCCAAAAAAACTGTTGTGATTAATTTTTTCTTGTGCTTTTTGTTCTGTGTTTGCTTTAAAAATGTGCAAAAATCAGCACAATTGTCAAAGTACTGCTAAAGAATTCGCAAAACACCTTTTATAAAAACACTCATCATTTGATAACACTTGATCATCACATCATCGCAACTACAAAGTTCATGCATTTAAGAAACACTTTCCAAATGGATCATTCACAAGGAAACCGAAGTAGACGTCCTGCAAAGTTTGAAGAAGTTTCCCGCTAATAAAATATCAACTTCCGTCTTATTGGTTATACGTCAGGGATATCACGACACCCAGGGAATCAAATGGGATCATTGCCCTGCTTGAAGTAAACATGCTCCCAAACCACCGGTTCCCAAGCGCAGAAGAAGCCCCAGAGATTGCGCAGGATTCCTTTGTCAAAAGGGTTTTCGTCTGCACCGCAGTGCTTGAGGTATGAGATTCTGTGTCGGGACATGAACTCCCATGTGGTGGTGTTTAAGGACACCAGGTAGAGGTGCGAGCCCAGGAGGAGGAGCACGGTGAGGGCCAAAATGGCAACCACTGCTGCTGCTCCCAGGAGAACACCGTTAGTCCTCAACCACTGCTGCCAGGTGGAGGCGTGACTGAAGCCTGACCTGTGTCAGAGTTTTAAAGCGATAGGTCACCCCAAATTTACAATTGTCTTCATTTACTTACCTCAAGTTGTTCCAAACCTATTTGAGATGTTGAACACAAAAGAAGATATTTTGAAGAATGTTGAAATCGGTAGGCTTTTCTTTAAATCAATGGCTAGAAGTTTGCAACATTCTTCAAAGTATCTTCTTATGTGTTCAATGGGGAAAATAAATGTATAAAGGTTTGGAATCACTTGATAGCGAGTCATGTTTTTGATCAATCTCTTTAACCGTCATCTCTAAAGAGTGCATCTTTTCTGAATATTAATTTTGATCAAATGTAAGTTGCATATAAATGTTGCTCACCAAGCCATGTACAGTCCCCACAGCAAGACCACAAGCTGGACGGCCAGATAAAGCACAAACCAGCGATGGTTCCTCTCCCCGACGCAGTTCTCGATCCAGGGGCAGTGGTGATCATAGCGACGCACACAGTGCTGACACGTCTGGCAGTGTTTCGATCTCATCGGTTGCTGTGTCAAAGTGAGCATTCATTTTAAACTTCTCTACCATACACTTGTTCATTAACCAAATTTGATGAACTAATCTATATTAACTGATGTAACATTACTGGCAAAAAGCTATATTCAGTTTCATTTTATGTCTCTAGAATTTTTTTTTATTGCAGCATGCTGTTAAATATTTGAATTAAACTAAGGTATTTTTAGTAAAATTATATAAACTAATATTTAGACCATTTCAATGTGGTCACATCATTGGCCCACGAACATTTCCAGCTTGTTATCAAATTATTTTATAACTGTAACAAGAGGCAACTCCATCATAATTTAATGTTCAAACTATTATCATAATATTATTTATCAATATGTTGCCTTTTTTGGATTCAGAGAAGCTATAGGAATTACATATGTTGATCAGGAAATACTTCGGGACCATTGATTTTGTTTACATCCCTCAAAAAGGTCTAAGTGATATGTCTATAATATACTAAAACAGCTCACCTGCACCAGACAGTGTCCACAGCGCCGCAGTCGTATGGATTTGGTTGTCTGTGGAATCATATCCTGTGTTTCTTCTGCGATACCAAGTGTGAACTGAAAAACAGTCAGGTGACGCATGTTTGATACTCTAAAATCTTACTCTCCAGATTTAAACCTCTAAAATCCATTGGTTAAAATGGTTATGAGGTCTATATTTCTATTAGCACAGAAGATCAATAACCCCTTTCACACATACAGACCTTTCCGGAAAATTACCGGCAATTTTCCGGAAAGGTTGTATGTGTGAACAGGCCCTTTTTGAAAATACCGGTAAATTCGTTCTGGCTATTTTCCGGAAAGAAAAGTTGTAACATTACCGGCAATTTGCCGGAATGCTGCGCTGTGTGAATGCAGAAGGAAGATAGCCGGAAAGAGCGCGTCCACGTCTAGAACGTGCTGACGTGAGACACCTGCTTTAGCCAATTAGAACAGTCAGACGCATTCACGTGCGCGCGGTTTATGAGAATAAAAGCCTTTGAATATTTTTCCAGACACATTTAGCTGCTAGATGTTAGTCAGATAACGTTTCTATGTTCCTTCTCAATGCTAACTGTGTAAATAATTATCGCTAAAATTTTTATGATAATCCGTTGTTTGTTTACCTTCAAGCTTTGCGTGTGCCCGTGAGTGCCCATAGCGCCAGCACACACACATATCAAGAACATCTCGACATGTGAAAGTGTTTCTCTATGTTTTCATTGGAGTTGTACTCAATACTGATCCATCCGAAGAGTTTGTAATGTAGTCAAATGTTTACAAACGCAAGCGCAGCCGTTTAGAGGTCATTTCTGGTTAATGATGTCAGAATTTAACGGCATTTTGCAATGGATGTGTGAATGCTCTTTTCCGGAAAAATTCCGTAAAGTCCTCGCCTGTGTGAACAGCGCTTTTTTGAATTTACCGGTAAAGTCGTTCCGGAAATTTTCCGGATATTTACCGGTATCACTGTGTGAAAGGGGCTATTGTCTATCTATCTGTGTAGATTAACTAGAAATATCTAACCAATTGTCAGCATTCTGGAAACCTGCTGTTAAAGGGTTAGTCCACTCAAGATGAACATTCTGTTATTGAATAACTCATGTTGTTCCAAACCCCTAGACCTTCGTTCATCTTCAGAACTCAAATCAAGACATTTTAGATCTGAGAGCTCCCTCATCCTCCATAGAAAGCAAGGATCCTGACTGTACCCAAAAACATCCTCAAAACAGACATGTGCCTTCAGTGGTTCATTTGGAATATTGTCAAGGTGCAAGATTACTTTTGTGTGCACATAAAACAAAAATAAGGACACTATTCAACAGTTTATTCTCCTCGGTGTCAGTATAGGGTGCACGTTCATGAGAGCGATGTGGTCTGTGCATTTGCTGCTGACCTACTATTCCTCGGATGCACCTGTGCTTCTTTTCAAACAGAGGAAGTAACACGGACATCAGTGCTCAATAACGTGGTGTGCCCTATACTGACACTGAGGACAGGAACTTTTGTGTGCCCTTAAAGAAAAATATTTTCTTCCCTTAACAATACAACGATTAAACCACTAAAGGCATATGGTCTGATTTGAGAATGGGTTTTGTACCTTTCTCGACTCTGAACAAGTCGGGAACCATGCTGTCTATGGAAGATCAGGGATTACAGAGGTACTTCAAGTAAATATTTGAGGTATTTCAGGCTTGGCTGACAAAAAAAGTTTAAATTAATTTATTTACTGACCTGCAAGTCACAGTCATCAGTCAGAACAAAACCAGGATCCATGAGTGAGACCGCAAAGTACAGCAACACAGACACCAGAACCAGCAGCACAAAGAGAACCGGCAGTGTGAGCTCCCCAGTCTCCTCCTGTCGGCGCAGGTCTGTGTGCAAGAAGAACATCACAGTATTACGGAACAATCAATAGTACAGTGGGGAAAAAAGCACAGTAGAGAAGTGGAGTGAATCATCATTGTAGAACAGAAGTAAAAGAAGTTAGAATGGAGAACAAATACAATAATTATATTACTCGAGGATTGAATCTAGTGAGAATAAAATCTCTGATCCTGAGGCTTTTTACACTTCATGAATTAGCACTTAAAAAAAAAACAAGAAAAAAGTCAAACTTTTACTCATTAACATTTTGCAACTTTAAAGAACCTTAAGTGGAATGTAAGGTTTCATGGACTAAAAAGGCTCCTCATGGAACCACTGATGCCAATAAAAAAAACTTTATTTTTAAGTATATAGCATCACACTAAATGGCTGAAAATATTTAACCCTTTATAGACCACTCATTGACATATTATTGCTAGTAGTTTTACCTATAATTATTAATTTATATATATATATATATATATATATATATATATATATATATATATATATATATATATATATATATATATATATATATATATATATATATATATATATATATATATATATATATATATATATATAAATGTTTTTTTTTTTTTTTACATTTTAACAAAGCTATGCCTTTTGGTCTTCAATAAAATGGTCTGAGATATCATAATTTTCGTGTCATTGATTTTTATTTTATTTATTTTTTTCATAAATTGACCTGTCATCATAATTTAAACTTTTCTTTTCATAATTGTGATTTATGTACACTGATTGAGGGAACTCCTAAACCTGGTTTGAGTTAAAGGGATAGTTCACCCAAAACTGAAAATTATATCTGTTGAAATTAAAAAAATAAATTTTGAAGTATGCTCCACAGTATTTGTTTTTCCTACTATGGAAGTCAATCATTGCAGCTTTTCTGCTTTCTAAAAAAATCTTCTTTAGAAAAAAGAAAATCATAAAGGTTTGGAAACACTGAGTCAATTTCTATTTATTTTTTATTTATTTATTTATTTAAATTTTTTTTGGTTGAACTATCCCTTTAAGACAGGGGTGTCAAACTCAATTGTAAGTTTCAAACAAGCCTGAAAGACTCAATTAGTTTGATTAGGTGTGTTTAATTAGGGTTGGAACTAAACTGTGCAGAGCTGCGGCCCTTTTGGAACTGAGTTTGACACCTGTGATTTAAGAGGTGCAAATAAACCAGCAGCAACTGCTTCCTCTTTAATGTAGCAACCAGCTTTGTTACTTTTTGTGGTCCACCAAACCATTTCCATTGTGGTCTGTGCTATTTGTATTTGTATTTATAAATTTGCATGTCCATGTGTAGTCAAATTCAATTAAGTGTGATGTCACTGATTTATCAAATTGTATGGAAAGGCTTAACAAATGGTACCAATAAATAAATAATTAAATAAATATATTATTTATAAAAAATAAATTGTTAAAATATCAGTCTCTATGATGCTGAAAGTCTAAAGATTGATCCAGTGTTTCTCAACCATGCATCTGGGGGGACCACCAGCTTTGCACATTTTCCATGTCTCCTTAACCAAACACACCTGATTCAGATCAACTCATTAGCAGAGAATAAAAGACCTGTAATGGGTGTAACAGACAAAGGAGACATCCAAAATATGCATTGCTGGTGGTCCTCAAGGAACATGGTCGAGAAACACTGATGTACATCATGATTTTGTAAGAAAATCTCTTGTGTGTAATTTGACTACAAAGTGGTCATGAACTACCATTTTATAAATTTAAGTAAATAGCAGCTTGGACCTGGAAACAGTATTTCATACGTCACGGATCGATGATGTTTTCTCAATTATTGTTTTTCTATCTGCATGTATTTTCTTAGCTTGCAGCGCTTTGGAGCTCTCTGAGTCACCGTAATTTCATTTTGTTTTTGATTTCTAGTTATTATAATGTACCAAAGCATCATCATTATTATTATTATTAAGTAGAAGTAAAGCGATATATAATGTTGCAGACTGGGATATAGAGCAGTAAATGTGGAAAGTAGAATAAAGCATGGTGGACTCATATCATGCAACAGTGTAGCAGTCAGAGCACTGTTACTGTATGTAACTGTATCAGAATAACTATGTAGAAGAGCAGGGGAAAACACACACATCATAACACATCACTGTGTAGTCCAGCAAAATTTATAGAGTAGAAAGATATTCTGTCCAGTAGACTATGCTGTAAACCAGTTGGACAGAGTGTGTAATAAGAGTATAACAAATGACAGGTAAAACCAGCAGTACACTTGAGTCAAACACTCAGAGATGCAGAAACAGGTGTGTGAAGCATCTTCATCTCATTTATTATCATTCAGCGTCCATTAAATAACATGCTTTGAATGGAGACTAACACATACTCTCACAGCACATTAAGCGTCTATAACGAGCACTTACCGGTGTCGTGGAGGAAGAGAATCAGCGTTATAACCCATGTCAAAATGACATGAGCGGTCCTCACCAGAAATCCTGAACCGAACACATTTTTGAACATCCTAGCATACTTCTATATCCAGCTAAGCATGCGTCTGCTGTGCGCTCGCAAAGAAACACATTGTCATAAGAGCTGTAATCATCAGCTAGCTGTGTTTGTTAGCCTGCTCGAGCTCATCAGAGACCAGTTAACGTTACATTCCAGCTGTCAAGTGCGCTCCTACGCGTCCTGCGCTAAATTCCACAACAACAACCATTTCTGACCGGGATATTTGTCCCCTGGCGTTGGGGTTCGTATGCTGCACGTCTAACGGAGACGGCTATAACATTGTGATTCAACCGAAAACGGCGGTACTTCAGTATTCTGTGTTTCTTTCGCTCTAATAAGCTTGTTGATGCCGTTCCGCAGCTTAGATGTGAGACGGGTACATGTCATGTTTCCTATTGGTCGCTTGTGGTCACGTGAGGTCTCGGCTTGAAACTGGGATGCAAATGTAAAGCCAAAGGAAGAGAGGAAGTATTCTCAGAACTGCAAGTGGATATATGCAGTAATACAGTGTCAGATACAAGCAATATAAATAACCCACAAAATCACACTGCATATATACAAATGACAGGTTCCCCATGAGCGTATTATGTCTGTTTAGATCATTTTACAATTATTATGAAATATTAATAATGGATATTCTCCACGTGTTCGCGTAGGTGTGCTCCGGTTTCCCTCACAGTCCAAAGACATGTGATACAGGTGAATTGAATAAACTAAATTGTCCGTTGAGTGTGAATGTAAGTGTATGGGTGTTTCACAGTACTGGGTTGCAGCTGGAAGAGTACCCGCTGCGTAAAACATGTGCTGGATAAGTTGGCGTTTCATTCAGCTGTGGTGAGCCCTATAAAATAAAGGGACTAAGCCGAAGGAAATTGAATGAAAATATTAATAATATTTGCAGTCAGTAGGCCTATATTAATAAGCAATTCATAGTTTTATTCAGCATTGAATTTAACTGATCAAATGTGATGGCAAGGATATTTATAATTACAAAATGTAAATATTATATATTTTAATATATTTATTTATGAATTATAGCATAATATATCTTCTTTGTCTTTAAAAGTCACTTTCTCAAAGGTGCTTAAATAATACAAAAAAAGACAAAACAATATAAAACAAGGCACTGTAAATACAAGAGAAATAACAAATAATTTCATCCAGTAAAGACAAGTTTTAGGAAGCATCTAAAGCATATGATGATGACTGGGTGTTGAAAGAGCAACCAGATACTGCGGAGTTAGCTAGTAAGCTAGCATTATCATTTTAAAGCTACCGATATATCAAGCTTGCATAATCATTTTAAAACATATATATGATACCTAACAGGGAGCCAGTATCATGTTTAGAGTATAGAGATTATATATTCACCATCAACTAGTCCCAGTTGAATTCTGCAGTTATTGTAATTTATTAAGAGGGGACTTGAATGCTCCAGTGAGGACAGCACTGCAATAATATAAACATTTTAGACGCAATCAATTAGTTTTTAAGCAACAGGAAAGGCTAGCATAGGCTGAATATGTGTGACATCTATATATTGTACAGGAGTTCTGTACAAAATGCTAAAGAGACACTGCTGTGTCAAAATTACTTTATAACTTTAACATCATAAACTGACAGATCTATAGAGGCAGACATTCACAGTAGGGAAACTTAGAAGAATACCTTTAGTTTGAGTAGACAAAAAATGGTTGAATATCCACATAAAGGGCACATTTTTTACGAGTGTAGAATAAGCCTTTGGTGTCTTCAGAATATGACTGTAAAGTATCAGCTCAAAACACCCAACATATAATTCATTATAGCCTACAGAATCTGCCCATTTTGTTGTCTGAGTATACTGTAGCTGTTTTTGTAGCATGTGTCTTTAAATGAAAATGAGCTTCTTCTCCCCACTCACTCTTCCCACATGTGTGTATGCTTCTCCTGTTATACATGAGATAAACAGCAGTCGGTGATAGAAACAGACATGGATAAAGCTGAAATACAGCTCGTCAAATTTTTTGAAATCCCAAGTTCATTTGATGTATTTGTGGTGGAGTCTTTTCAAGTCTTTCTGAAGTGATGACTCACACACAAATGCCGTTTGTAGTTGTAGTATACACACACACACACACATCTATGTGAGTTTACTGACCCCATGCAGCCGTGGTGATTATAACTGTGCGAAATTACATGCCAATTTTACTGTCTGTATTACAAATGCTCTGCTTTAAGCTAATAAAAAAAAAATCACAGATAGTTGAAACAGATATTTTATTCCCAGTTTATTTGCAAAAACAAAAATGCTTTGTGAATGTGTATACGTGTTATTATAGAAACATGACACACGGCAATCAATTTGGTGGGCAGAGAAAACCGCACTCCTACATCACGTTGCGGTGGGCCTCAAAATCTCAGGGATTAAGGTCTTATTTTAGCACCAGTAAATGATAAAAAACAAGAGACTTATTGGGTTTATATCACTCCAATATGACAGTGGACACATTATATATACACATACAGACAGTTCATCATAAGCTTGTCATCATCTTGTTCATCATGTCCAGCTCATCATAAGTGCCCTTTAATCTAAGAAATACCGCTGCATCTTTCTATTTTAAATAAATGTTTATTGTTTAAACTTTAAATTTGAGAGTTGTTATCAAAGAAAATTCTGAAAAAATTTATACATTTTTGTTTTTTTAAAGCAAGCAGCACAAAACACTGATTGTAGAAAATAGTTTTTTTAACACCAAATTTGAGTATTAACAGGAATAAATGGCATTCTTAAACATAAAAAACAGTTCTCTTTAATTTGTTTCAATATTTGATAAATGGGTTGTTAAGTGTATTTTTGATCAAATAAATAAAACCTTTGTGAGCATTTTCAAATAATAATAATAATAATAATAATGCATTTTATTTAAAGGCGCCTTTCATGACACTCAAGGTCACCGTACAGGACAGCTAGAACAATCAGTTCAAATAAAAACAATAGAATACAATACAAACTTTAAAACTCATTCGGGTCAAAGAGAATAGGCTGTTCTAAACAGATGTGTTTTAAGTTTGGATTTAAATTGTGAAAGAGAGTCTAAATTACGCAGATCAGAAGGAAGTGAATTCCAAAGCTGAGGAGCAGAGTGACTGAAGGATCTGCTCCCCATGGTGACAAGGCGGACAGAGGGAACAGTGAGGTGAATGGAAGAAGAAGACCTGAGGGGTGGCTATATGAACAAGATTAGCAAGGTGTTGAGAAGCGAGGTTGTGGATGGCTTTAAAAGTGAAAAGAAGTATTTTATTAATAATTCTGAAAAGGATAGGAAGCCAGTGAAGCTGTTGTAGAATTGATGTGATGTGATGTGACAGGCAGATGGGGTTTTTGTGATAATACGAGCTGCAGCATTTTGTACCAGTTGTAATTTATGAAGTGACTTCTACAGTAAAACCAAACATCATACAGAGCCCAAACTAACTAGTTTATGTATTTATTGTTGATTTGCAAGCATCCCTTTGATTTCCTTTACTGTCAAAAATCTACCATGCATAATCCTCAGCTAAAAACATTATACTGTTTGCACAAGATTTTTGGCTTCTTTCTCATCAAGTATAAAAGGCGACTTCAAGTTCTTCTGATTTAGCAGCATGTCCAGACCCTGTAAAACACAGCAATTAAAATACATCCATGCGTCACTGAGGCTAAGAATGAAAAAAAGGATAGAAAGAGATGTGGCGTTGCAGCTGTCTCTAACGCTCTCTCCTGAGAACAGTAACACTGCTTTAACATCATCCGCTCCAGTTCACATCATGCTCCATATGTTCACACATGCTAGTTACCCTTTTTTCACTCTGTGCCTCAGGGCTAATTTTGCCTCTTTTTGTACTAACTCTTAAAAAATTGGTATTCTGTTAAAAATGTTTAGCTTTTGTGTCAGATGTAGGTCTCTTAGATACAAAACTAGACTTTTCATCAGTATTATTAATTCTAAACTATCAAAAACCACAACAAAAGTATTTGAGTTTTTACCTCGCCAAAGTATGATACGAGTGGAGAGATTTCACAGACAGCTGGTGGGTCTTCATTTTGTGCAGTACTGCAAAAGAAAGCAGAGACAAAGTCAGTCATTATAAAACACTCACCCTGCTGTCCATTTAAGAAACTGACTTAAAATAGTTCATTTTCTGCATGGACAGGCAAGACATCCCTTTTAGGCATTTTTCTTTCAGGTTAAGTCAGATGGAGGAACTCAATTCATAAGGGGAATAGAGTTGATTTTAGGAAATGTCTACAGCACATCCTGTTCTACAACTGGTTTGTTTGGAATTATAAAACAAATTAAAATATGAGAGAAAACTTCATATTTGCAGTAAAGGTCATTTGACGCTATTCTAAACAGTCAATATTTGTTTACTAATAGCAGTAGGATATGTTGACGTGCTCTATTTCCATGGCATGTGGGTACGTAGCTTGCTTGTTTGCAGCTTCTTTCCTCATAGACTTGTTTACTTCAGGTTTACTCAATAAGCAAGTCATGTTTACCTGATTTCTGAGTAATCAATCGCGACATTCCAAAGTATGAAATACGAACACGAATCATCTTATCCCAAGTATATTATTCAATCGACAGTTTTGTGCTTATCTGTCACGCCGCTGATCTTGACTGTTTGGCGCCATCTTGTGACTGAATAATTATACAAGTTGTTTAGCGCAGTCATCATTTCGGCGAACTTTACATTAAATTAAAGAGTAAGTAAATGATTACAGCTCAGATCAGTGTTTAGTGTCTAATTATTTCATTTTGAGGCAAATATCTGTGTAATAAGTCGAATAATGTATATCTAGCCACAGAATAAAGCCCATCAGTCCTGTCTCGCTAACGTAAAGGAACACATGATTTTTTAACGCAGCTATAACCTGAATCATGTCCGAAATGTAATATCCTTACCATCACTGTAAGTTTCAGTTTTCTGTTTTTTTTAATCAAATGTAAACATTTTATAATGGTTTCAGTTTTACCATCAGTTAAAGTCACAAACATGATCAGTTACTCAAAGAAAATGGAACACGATCGTAAGGACTCTTTAAAAATATAGTTCACCTAAAAATGAACTACTCCACTTGTTTTAAACCTGTTTAAGTTTCTTTCATATCTTGAACACAAGATATCCTTAAGAATGTTGTTTCTGTCACTGACTTCCATAGTATGTTTTGTTTCTAAAAATTCATAAAGGTTTGGAAGCACTTGAGTGTGAGTAAATGATTAGGAAATTTTCAGTTTTTGATTAACTATCCCTCTAAGACATTTTGAGGATGATATCCAACAATCCTTATTCGATGTGGATTTACTAAAGGGTATTTAGTGTTATCACCTATGTTTTGGTGTGA